ACGTAACGGTATATATATATTCATGCGTAGTATTTTTAAAAAATTTAATTGACTACAAAGCTACAAATATTTATAATCAATTAAAATTATTAATTAAAAAAATAAAATAAAAATTATTAAATTAAATTCAAAGGATGTTTTAATATACAATAATTTTTAAATCTTTCCCCAATCATTAACATCTTATGGCTACGTAATTAGGGTTGTCAAAATAACTTTTTGTCCGTGAACACCTTTTATTCGGCTCGCTAAGCATAGGAGTCGAACACGAACAAACATTTTGAGCTCGAAATCTAAACGAGCTGAGTCTGAGCTCGCTCGTGTTCGCCTCGTTTGCACCCCTACCAACACCTTTCCCCACCTCTCACCCTTGTCCTTTGGTGTCGTCATCAGGACAACCAAAAACCTATTTATTTCTCATTGTTCCCTTGTTGTTCAAGCAATTCCCACCACACCTAACAGCTCCACTTGCCACCCAACTTGTTATTATTGTCCTCCTCCCTAACTGATACTTCCATCCCGTTTCGCTACATTGTGGCTGTTCCTTCGCAGTCCCGCACCTTCCCTACCATGTCGCCAGCTCAACACCTTCCAAACCCTAATAATAACCACCACCACCTTTGATTCATCCTTGTCACGTGTTCTATGTCGTGTGTTGTTATTTCTTATTTCAATTGTCTGGTTATAAATTCCTATTTGATTTCAGTAATAATAATTGCTTTCCTATTTTCACTTAAGTTAATCATTTATAGCAGGTGGTACTTCACCAATTTCCAACCGAACTTCCTTCTTCTAAAATTTCAGGTGCATTCATTAACTTAAACATTCAAAATTATTATTAAATTTTTTCTTGTACTTATCACATTTGGTTTTTTCATCAAGATTGCATTATTTAATCCTAAACCATTCTCTGATAACACATTTGCCACAACTCGGTCCGAGGTTTGGAACTATTAAAAAATAATTTTAGAAATAAAACAATAATATTTCTCCACTCTTCTTTTGTACAATCACCAAACCAGATATCATTTAACCTTTAATTCAATTGTGAGTCAAATTAAAATTACTAATTTTACTTCATAGAATTTGAATAAAATAAAGGGTTTGTTTGGCGGGAGTGTGCATCTTATTCCAAATCCCTAAATTTTGAAAATCAAGGCATTTGTTTGAAAGAAATTCAAATCTAATGTAAAATAGTATTATATTTGAAATTCAGTTCTTTGTTCATTTTTCCTAAATTTTGAAACTCGGCTGAACACACTGCTTAATGTGAAAATAATATTGGCCACCTATTGCCATCTTCTCGTAGTCGTTGCTCGTCATCGCTCGCCACAGTAGGCCCCCCGTCGTCGCGACCAACTAAAGTCACTCTGATCCGCCTCCTGCCACCGTAGTCGGCCATCTTCGTAGCCGCCCGTGACAAACACATCACTTTGAAATACATTATTTTCATTTTATGTCAAACCAAACCAAAAGATATGATGTGTTTCATTTCTTTTACACCGATTCAAACTCAAAAGAATTTTCAAAACAACACATTACTTCTACATTGTATTCATTTTACAGTGTAGTATTTTTTCAGCAAACCAAACAACCCCATAACTAACTAAAAGATATAACTTATATAATAAAAAAATAAACACTTATTCGTTCCACTGTTTCATCACCCCCACATGTGAACCAAATTCGCATGTTACTTCTTCTGGCATGCTAGGGCATGAATTCCTCTTCTCGCACCGCAACTGCTTGGCACTTTTTTCCTTCTTGATTGCTCGAGTCGGTTCACTCTCACCTCCTCCCTCACACGATAAACACAAATCGTGCCTCACTACACCTCTACCTTTCTTCTTTCTCCACATGAGGTCCCCACAAAGCCACCTCCCCTCGTCCTCTTTGCATGAGACGTCTCCCTTGCTCACGGCATCGCTCGCATAGCATCAATGTATGCAAAGCTTCGGTTAGAGTTGCGCAAGAAAGATACAATACTTCCTTCTCTTCGATTAGAGCATGGGTTTCTTCTACAACAGTTTGCAGGGCTCGATCAAATTTATATGAGCCACAAAATAGAGAAAATGTATGGTTTCCGTGCTCTTCTTCCTCATGGCTTCACCTACTCCCTTCATTCTCTTTCTCTTCCTCTCCCACTATGACTCACTCGCCTCTCTAATGGGGTCGAACATGAGAGGATAGGAAGGGTAAGCCCTTTGTTTAACTAATAATAATAATAATAATCTGTTTCGACACTTGCACCAGAGAAACTCATCAGCATTTACTCTAATTCTCTCTCTATAAACACTCTTCAATTCTCACGCATCCAAAGGTATAATTCAAGAAAAAATACTAAAAATCTGAAAGCAAACTCAAAAGGAGAAGGATGATAAGAAGAAAGAGATGCATGGTCAAGATCCCAATAAATTTTGTATCAATGTCTCTTTCTGCATCAATCAGCCTTGTCAAACTCACAAGAAAATGATAATGTGCACGTAACGGTATCATGATTGTGAGCCTGAAGCCATCCAACATAGGTAGTTTAATAATATCAATAGACAAGTACACACGCTTCATACTACATTAATACTAGTTTGGAATACTATTCAAATAATTCTGTTATTGCAAACTCATTTCCAATCAATGTGCAACTTTAATCATCATAAATTTCTACGTAAATTATCTATTCAGAACAGTATTAATAATCATTTGGCACAAATTTCTCGAGTTTTCATCTAAAGGGATGAATACTTCTTTAAATTGATGGTCAAGAAATTGTGATTTTTTATTCCATACATATTGTGCACATCATCTTAGAGTTATATTAAGAAAGCCCGGTATCATAAGCAAACAGGGGCATCAAAATTGATATTAGAGTTTAAGATTATATCACATGTCAACTAAAAGTAGGATTATAACTAAGGTCAACCAAAATAATAATAAATGAAATAATTTAGATGAAATAAAGAAACGATTCTAAAAAATTATAATGTGATTATCATGAGATTCAAAAATATAAATCTACATTAGATTGAAATAAAATATGAAAAAAAAAGAAATTTTCTTTTTGAATTGATAATTTAAAAACAGCCTTTTAAAGTAACAATGGTTGCTTCCCAAAGAGTTGAATGTGCTCGATCAAAACAAGTGGGACATGCACAACTAAAGAAGAAAAAAGTATGATGTGCTTAAATATTATCCAAATATTAAAGATGTTATAGCCAAAATTCGTTCGCCTCTAGGCAAGTTAAAGGCAATAATTATAAAAGAATTAAACTATAATTCAGCAAAGAAAAGACAACATGAGACTTTATACATAATTTTCCACAGTAAAAAAAAAAAGCACTCCGAAGGAAATTTCTTTAGCATCTCTTTTAGAGTCTGACAAACCTACACTAAAACAAGACTCATACATAGTCAAATCCTATCTTGATGAAAAAAAACTACCATTTAAGAAACATTATTTTGAAACGCAATAAAGGCATAAGAAGGTCAACAATTATAATACGAGTCTAGATATGATTGTGTTGAATAAGAATTAATACCTACAATAGAATATGTCATGAGCCTAAACCTACACCTGAGGGAAAAAAAGAAGATTTTAGTCTACAAATTGAATTGTGAAGAACATAAAAGACCTAGAACTACATATAGAAATTAAATACCCCTAAATTTAAAATTGAATAAATCAGGGTTATTCTAGCTGACGAATAGATGCAACAAACAAATAATACAGCTCAAGTTGAAGTATCTATTCAGCTTATTATTAAGCCTACAAATAAAACCTAGATTGAAATTAATTTTTTTTACTATTTCTTGATATACACATTTATGAAAAGCATTGTACAGATATATAAGTTAAAATTTCAAAGAATTTATTAATGATTAATGCCTTAAAGAAATGTAAAACTTAAAACTCCATCTTTTTTTATCCAATCAGAAGTGCATATAACATCACAACTATTATTTTGCTTGTTTGCTTGTAAAATTAACATTATGAAAACTAAGCTAAGGTAGTAAACAGCAGAAAATTATAACTAAAAGAAAACATATTAAGAGAAGACTCAACACCGTAAATTTGCAATCCATGACTTCCTGTCCATATGCACAATTGCGAGTACACAACTGCACAAGCAGGCACTAGATAAAGTTGATTTTTTTTTTTTTTTCAATAATCTTCCCACAGAGAAAAAGCACAAGGAGTCGCACTATAAAAAAAATTTTGGACAAGATTTATGCCGCCTACCCAGAAGTGTGCAACTTCTTCCATAATAGCAGCTAATGATTACAATTCGTTGTTACTCTAATGGAATGAAGATTGTAATTCATAAATCATTTCAGCATGTCAAATTGTCCCAATAGCATTGAATTCGAATAGGATCTTCATAGTATAAATATAAAACCAACAGGTTGAAACTGGGAATGAAAAAACATTTGAAAATTACAAGTTCTTCGGTTCAGATAACAGAAAATCACTTCTGCAACTTATATCTGAGATAAAACCTTCGAGTTGACATAGGTTGAGAGAAACAACGATAACAAACCTTCCAAGTTGACAAAATGTCCAAGCAGAAGAATACAAAAAACCAAAGTTAAAGAGTAATACAAGTAGACAGCAAAAAGCATTACCTGAGCATTGGGAGACATGCTTCCAGATTTGGAATTTGATATTTTCCTCATCTCCTTTATATATGATTTGAGTAAAGGAACAGGTTGAAATTGGTCTGTCAGTTCAAATGCAAATACGAGATTAACAGCATCAATTTGTTTTCCTCTATTGATCAGTGAATTGATGACACCTAAGGCATCCATCATACATTATTAGAAGATCAGAAGCCGACAAAAACTAAATCTGCTTAATTGGAGAATGTAAAGTGCTTCAAAGAATTAGAAAATAAAGGCGCAATAGAATCACACCATTCTTACCGCTTACAATACCTACGCGTGGCAAATACTAGGGCACGTACAGATGAGAAAAATAAGTTTCCCCACAAGGCATTGGTGGTGTGTCTTGTTCACTAGAATAACAATGGGAGCATCAGCCAATTTCTCATTGGGATCCATTAAAATAGCCACTAGTTTGAAAAATAGAAGGTTGGACTCTGTCAATAGGTCTATCACATATTTGTGTTGGTAAAGGCAAATGCCTCAAGAGGATCGGACAACTTTTATGTCTAAGAAATATTAGAGAGACCCCAAGTCATCCATTTCAAAGGATTTGGCAAAGAAGCCTTTAATAGATTCCAAAGCATATCATTACCTAAGAGCATAATATTATCGATATAGATGATAAGGATGACAATTTGGCCACTAGAGGAATGCCTGAATTAATTACATCTGAGAGAACCCATGGCCCACTACCACTTGCGTGAACTTGATGAACTAGGCCAAAGTGGATTGTTTCAGTCTGTAGAGGGACTTCCACAATTGACGCACTTGTCCCCAAGAAGAAATAGAGTCAAATCCTGGAGGTAGAGATATGCACACTTCCGTGAGATCGTCGTTAAGGAAGACATTCTTGACATCCAGCTAGAGTAAGGGTCAATCCAAATTCACAGCAAGGGATAACAGAACTCAAATGGTGTCCAGTTTCGCAACTGAAGCAAACATCTCCTCATAGTCAACTCCATAGGTTTGTGAGTAGCCTTTGGCGACCTACCATGTTTTATTGTGTTCAAAGGTTCCATCAGAGTTAAATTTGGTACTGAAGATCCATCAGCAACCAAATGTTTTCTTTCCCCGATGAAGATCAACAACATCCCACGTATGATCTAATAAAATGACATTCATCTCATCCATTACTACAGCCTTTCAGAAACGGTCTACCAAATGCTTCCTCAATAATAGAAGGAAAACGATCCGTCAAAGAAGTGGAATGCTTTGTAGATTGGCGACAAGCTTTGAAAAGAGACTTATTTTTCCATGGAATAAAGAGAGCAAGTCTGATTGCGTATCTCAATGGTATAACTCACCTCCTCAATCGGAACAGGAGTAATCTCTGCAAGTGTAGCGTCAGGAATGTCGTTCGGGGTGGATTCCAAGTCCTATAAAGAGGCAGTGGGCTGAAGAGTTGAGGTAGTGGGATAGGTCTCAACCAAGGGTTTCATGCGCCAATTATAAGCACGGAGAATGGGTGAAGGAGATGTTGGTCTAGTAGATGGTAGATCCAGTGGGACAAATGGTTCCTCGAGATCAGTGGCTAGAGTAGGTGGCATAACCAACAAAGTCGGAAAAGTAGTGCACAAAAAATCTAGTTCCCCCACTTGAGGCAGTGTTGAGGAAGTAGGGAACACTTTCAAGGAATGAGACATAGGCAATCACATAAAGTTTATTTGTGATAAGATTGAGACACTTATAGCCTTTTTAGTAGAAGAATATCCGAGAAAGATAAGCCTAATTGACCATGGATCAAGTTTACTACGAGTTGGGGACGTATTTCGAAAGAATGTCAAGTAGCCAAATATTTTGGGGTCTAATGTAGAGAAGAACCAATTGGTAGGATAACACTATCTCAAGACTACTAACGAGGTCTGAAATTTGTGAATTTTTTTGGACACTCTATTGATGAGATATGTGGCCGTAAGTATGGCATCATTCCAAAACCATTTAGTGATGTTCGATTGAAATATAATGGAATAAGCAACTTCGAGAAGGCATCATTTTTTTCGTTCAACTGCAATATTTTGTTGAGAAGGAGCCATACAGGAACTATGATGAAGAATGCCCTTACCAAAAAATCCCCTAGCATAGAGTTAAAAAATTCACGGCCGTTGTCAGCACGAAGGACTTAAATTGATGTTTTGAATTGGGTCAAAATGAAGGATTGAAATTTTTTGAAAGAGATGATATCTTCATATTTGTATTTTAAGATATAGGTTCACGTAATTCGAGTACGATCATCAATCGAGATAAGAAACTGGCATTTATTGGTGTAGCTATAAGTTAGTAAAAAAAAGGCACAGAAGAAGTGTAAGAGTGTTGTGAATGTGAAACTCGATGTTAAAATAACAGAAAAATCTCACATTTGGAACTAGATAAAATTTTATTAGTAGACATCAAATGATGCAATTGTTTTAAATATTAAAAATTGGGGTAACCCAAACGACAATGTAAAATTATCATAGATCATTCAAGAAACTGAGAAAGACTATAATGATTGGATGTTCACTCGTCAACCTTGCTTTTCCCTTAGAAAAACTAGAGCCCAGCCACCCACTTATTAGCAGTTCCATCCATTCTCCCCGAACGATAATCCTGAAAGACAAAAAAAATATCAGGAGAAAAATGAGCAATACAATCAAGGTCACATGTCAGCTTCTTGATTGACAAGAGGTTACATTTTAATGAAGGCACCTGAAAGTCAAGTTTGTTGCTAGAAAAACAGACCCTTTGCCCGCAATGGAACTTCGGGAGCTATTAGCAATTTTAGTAGTATCTCTCCCAAGTCAGGAAGAATATGTTGAGAAAGCTTGAGAACATTCAATCATAAAATTTGTGACGTATGAATTAATAATCCACGGACTAAAACAAAAACAGTGAGTGTCATTGGAATATCACCATGATGAACATGGGAGGTAGATAGGTTGAAAGAGAAATAACTATATCCAAGTAGTTTGATCAAGTGCTTCATATGACTCTTAATGAAGTCAGGTAATTCTGGAATGTTCTCAGTGGGAGTCGGTTATACTGTCGTGGCTTCTAAGGTTGTATCGAAACTCTTACCAGCGAAGGATTTGGTGGAAGGTTTTTTCGACAGTTTCTAGTTGAGCTTTCAACACTTGTCGCAGGTATAATTTAGTTTGTGACGGTAATCACAAGTTGAGTTATTTGCCTGTGATGGCTTGGATGAGGTCGAGCACTATTAAAGACCAAGGAGGATGGTTCGGTTGATGGAGTGACAGTGTCGAGCATGAAAAGTCTCTGGCTTTCTTCACGACGCACCTCACCACGAGTTGAAGGAGATACCGACCAAGAATGCACCACAAGGTGAACGCACCTCAATGAATGCACGAGTTGAAGGGGATACCGGTCAAGAATAAGACCCCGAACTTAGTCGAGATCCTTGCTTACACCCACTAGAAATTGAAATACACGATCCTTTTCCACAATTTTCTGAAAGAGGGAAAGATCAACCGAAGAGTCCCATGTGTAGTCGCAGTAGAGATTGCATTCCATCCATAAGGCCAGCAAGTCATTGTAATACTGGGTCATGATCCCTGATCCCTGATCCCTGTTTTGCCCCGCGGATCCTCTTCAAAACCTCATAAAGTTGGCCAGAGTTTCCTATGCCCATGTAGGTTTCGCGAACTATTGTTCATAATGCACTTGCAGACCATGAAAATAATCAGCCAAAGCATGATCATAGAATTCTCCACTTCCTACGCTCCATATGTAGGGTCAGTTTTTGGAGGTTCATGAATCATACCTGTGAGATAGACGAACTTCTCGTGTCCTTTGACGAACAATGACACGGCTTGAGATCATTGGAGAAAATTAGAGTCGTTAAGTTTATGAACAGTGATCAAGTAGTTCATGTGATTTTTCGAGCCTCTGGTCTGCAAAGGGTTGATGTTGGTGTTGATCCTTAGGTGAACCTAACTACATCATTGGAAGGAAGCTCAGTGATTGAAGAATCTGCCATGATCCTAACTGAGCCAAAAGTGATGTTTGGGTTGCCAAGACATGGGAAGGTTTCGGTTGTAAAAGAAAGAATCAGCTACTATGGGTCCTGTAGGGGATAGATATAGCCTAAGGGAGTTTCAACAGCCTTGGAAGGAGACCGGGCCAATTGGAGGAAGGTACGGCAGCTGGAACGTTTCTTCTTGAGAAAGATCAAGTTGTTTGGAGAGAAATCCAACTGACTGGGGGTACATCCAAAGGGTAGAGAGAGATTTGGTTCGCTGGAGGGAGATCCAGTGGAGGGAGAGCCAGCTAGAGGCTGGAAGTAGGTGGCCAGCGAAGGAATCCTTGCAGAAAAAGGCTTGCAGGCGGTCGGTAGCTGAGGAAGAGTCCCGACGGCTAGGATTAGAACCATGGCTCTAATACCACGTTAGATTTGAAAATAGAGTGGAATGATCTTATTGAGCAACAAAATAGGTATGAATACATGATATGAGAATATGGGAAAGAAAAGATATAATATCCAAATCTTTCCGAATAACACCCAATAGAAAAAAGGAAAAGACAAATAAGGAAATACATATAATAAAAAATAAAATGAATGACAACATAAAAAATAGAAAAATCTTCTAATATCTTCTAATATGATGCAATGAAGAAAAAAGAATTCATGTAGTCGACCCCACTTAGTGGGATAAAGGGTTGTTGTTGTTGTTATACTATGAAATTTTTTTCTCTACAGCATGATGGTTGGCATATCAAAAAATAATATAACTATTTAAAAAGCAAATAAAATGACTTCAACAATGCCTCTTTCAAAACCAACCCACCAATATACAACACAAAAAATTCCTAGTTCCCATATTATTGTCAATCCACAGCCTGCCTCATTTGCAATGTATAGAATGTAACTGATACTGGGATTTAACAAATATACAATTAAAAGCAAATATTATTACTGAATTAAAATAGAAAATTACAACATACTATGTGTAAATGTGAAATTACAACAATACAACACACAACACTAGAACTAGTGGTGGAAATCAAATAGAAATGGTGTCGACTAGGGATGTAGACCTCCAAGGCAGAGGCAAGGGGGGTGAGTGTCGGCGTTTAAAAAGGGGGGGAGTTACGTTTGGGGGTCGCCCGTAAGAAGCTGTCGGTGTGGTGATCATCG